GTCACAACCTTTGTCTGCCTTGGTTTTCTTATCTGTAAATGGGAACTTATAATGAGAATCTGTAAATTGTACCTACATATAATAAGGATAAAGAGAGATAATTTGTAAATATTCTTTACAAACCTTAAAGTACTATATGAATACTAGTTATGTTATTTTTATTGTTATCATTATAATTTATTATTATTCCAATTTACTGTCTAAATGTCAAACTGGGCAGAACAACTAGTCAGGGCACAGAGAAAAATAGAAATTCAGGACTTAGGATAGATTGAAAATCTGTAGGTTTTTTTTCTTGGAGTTCAACTTGCCCCTATTTTTTTACAGTATCAATACTTTATATAGCCCCATCTGCTACTTTTCTTTTTAAAAATATTTATGTATTCATTGATTTTTTTCCACTTCTCATTGTGTTCTCAAATATTCTGACTGTTATTGCCTCCTGCTTTTAACTCTATAATTTTGAGTGTTTTCCTGATTCTCTTTCCATTTTCCAAGTAAATCATTAAATTACATTGTGATTAAGACAATGAGAGAAATCATGATAAATCACAAGGTAAAGGCTGACAATGTTGCTTTGGGCTCTATACAGAAACTTGGAATTGACCAGAGTCCACACTGCAGATGGGCAAGCCAGGTTGTACTGGGGCTAAAAATCAGAGTCCACAAAAAAAGCCTATCTTGAAACTTTTTTTAAACTTTAATCTTTATTGTGTAGTAATAATAATAATAGTAATAATTACCATTATATAATGCTTTAACATTGGCAAAAAAGTTTGACAATTATTATTTCATTTGATCCGTACAACATTGCTGGGAGGTAGGGAGTATTATTATACTCATTTTGCAGATGAGAGAACTGAGGCAGACAGAGATTAAGTGAGTTGCCCAGGGTCACAGGTATTAAGTGTCTGAAGCTGCTTTGGAGCTCAGGATTTCCTGACTTCAGGTCCAGTGTTCTATCCACTGTATCACCTTCCTGCCCCATGGTTTAAAGACAGGATGATTAGAAAATGTTTGTATTTATTGTACTTCTTCATATGTGTTCAAGAGGTGCATTGGTTTATGAGTGAATCACATAGAGATGGAGAAAAATAAAGCTTTACCCAAGAACCTTCATCTCCTGACTCCAAGTACAGTCACTAGCTGTCCCCCATTCCTGGAATGTTCTCACTTCTCATCTCTGCTTCCTGGCTTCAAGTTCCAGCAAAATCCACCTAAACTCATCTTTCCTGGTCTCCCTTAATTTCAGTGCCTTCCCTCTGCTAGTTATTTCCAATTTATCCAGTAGATAGTATATATTTGTTTGTATAATATCTCTCCCTTTAGCCTGTGAGTTCTTTGCAAGCAGAGGCTGTATTTCACCTTTCTTTGTATTCCCAGGGTTTACTTTAGTGCCTGGAACATAGAAGGTGCTTAGTACTGACCAACATGTACATAACCAACAGAAGACAATGTGTCATAACAGAAAGAGCACTCTATTTGGGTTCAGAAGATTTTAGTCCAAGTCCTTACTTTAACACTTCACTATGTTAAGGAATCCACTGGTTTTGTAATTAAAGAAACCATGCACATTCAAATCCTTGCTTTCTTTACTGTATGAGTAACATTAGGCAAGTCCTTCACATTTTTGGGTCATAGTTTACTCATCTAGAAGGGCTAAATACTTGGATCCCTTCTGGCTTTAGATCCCTATGATCTTTAGTAGTCCATTGATTAGCAAAGCCAAGAACAAAAACTGCAAGGAGAAAGACATCCTACTCAGCAGCTGCTGTGGAAAATGGAAAACAGTTGTTACAGATATTAGGTATAGATCACATTTTTTTTTTACTGCAATCAACTCCAAGAGGATACAACCAAACAGTGAAAAGATTATATCTTTAAACAATTATAGGGGAAAAAAGGAAGTACCTTGCATGAGAATGGATAGGGAAAATTCCTATATAAACAAGGGATAGTGGTGATTGTAAAAGATAAAATAGAGAATTTTGATTAGGTAAAATTAGAGAACTCTTATGTGAATCAAACTAATATATCTAGAACAAAGAGAGAAAATTACTGAGTAGCAAAAAAAAATCTTTCCATCAAATATCCCTGATAAAAGCTTGTAATTCAATCTATAGGGAGTTGACAAAAACTCATAAAACCTAGAACCATTCCCCCATAGATAAATGACCAAAGAAAATTAACAGTTTCCAAAGGAAGAATTGCATATTGTCAAAGAACCATGTGAAAGAGCTCCAAATTAAAAAAGAAATACAAATCAAATCAGAGGTTTCATATTATACCTAGCAAACTGTCAAAGTGACCAAAGATGGACATAGTCAATTTTGGAGGGCCTACAAGAAGATGGGCTCACTAATACACTGTTAATAGAGCTGTGAATTGGTCCAAAAATTCTGGAAAAATTGTTTGGAATAAAAAAGTCACTAAATTGCTCATATCCTTTGTCTCAGAGATTCTACTACTCTTCACATACTAAACATGAGGTCAAAGACAGAAAGGCCCCATATATACCAAAACAACAACACTATTCATAGTAGTAAAACACTGGAAACAAAGTTGGTGAACCATTTAGGAAATAACTGAAAAAAATTGTGACAATGAATGTAACAGAATACTTGGGTACTGTAAAAAAAACCCACAGAGAAGGAATTCACATGGAAAATACATATGAATTGATATACAGTGAAGTAAGAAGAACCAGGAGAATAATATATACAATCACTGCACTAAAAGAAAACAACATCAAAGGGACATGAATTCTGATTAATTGTAAATGACTAACTGTGGTCACTAAGGAATGATGCTAAAGCACACCTCTCTCTTCTAGAAAAGGAAGCATAAGACTAAGAGAGTAAGCATATTTTGTCCCTATGTCCATTTATTTTGCTTTACTGTTTTTGTTTTTAACACAGAAGTTTCATTAGGGTACAGCATGGAATATGTACAAAAGATATCAATAACATTAAAAAGCACAAAGTAAATTAATAAATAAAACACAATCCTTCATTTAATAGGCATCCGTGGGTAAGAGACTTCACATCTCTGATCTTCTCATTTGTTTCAGAAAGTTATTGTGAGGAAAGTCTCAAACCTTAAAACACTATAGAAATTTAACTTATCATTACAGATTATTATTATTCCCACCAAAAGAGTTCTACTTTGATACCTCATTATGGTATGAAGGTGAAACTGGGCTCTCAAAGAAAATGTCAATAGAACTACAAGGTCTGGCACATCTTATTCAAGGTAGGAATGGTTTGAGTATGGACTCAGTGACAGATGTCTATTGCCTGAGGACCAATCTAGGTAAGTTAAGAGAGGTTCATCATCTGGATTACCATAGCAACTGACAAGGAATTTCTATGAATTAACAATTAGCAAAGTAGTTAAGATGTGCATTGGTGGAAAGGAATGCCCAGTGAAATCAATTATCCTTAAGATATTGAAGCATAAAACTATTATTAGTAATAATAATGATAATAATACATGAACTAAACCATAGTTTAGGTCTTTAAAATATTAGGTTCCTCCAAAAAAGTGAAGTGGTCTGCCAAATCATTATCTGTAATGGAGAGACATCGAACACAACACCTTATTTGGCCAGAAAAAAAATAGCAGGTTGTTGTGTTTTATTTAGGATCTTACTCTCTACTTTATAGTGCTTTTTTTCCCTCTTTTTCTTCTTCTTACCATTAGTGCAAGAACAGAAACAATGACTCAAACTTCTAAAGTTATGAGGTCTTTCCCCAAATTGAGATTAACTGTTAAATCAATGATGGAGCCCTACTCATATGCAACAGTTAATGAGAGAAGGTAATACCAGACCTCCTTTCTGCTGACTTATTTCTTTTTTCTTCAAATGCATTAGTGGCAAGACATACTGTGGGCCACTGAGGTGAAAGAGGAATGAATCTATCATTTAGCAACTGCCTATGGCTGAGATAGGGTAATCTCCTCCCACTGGTGTTAGCAACAATTTGGGAGAATAGTAGGAATGGGCCTTGTGTTATTTCCCCCCATTAATAGCTGTAGGTAGGCAGCATGGGCTCTACTGTTGACATAATAGCTAATCTCAATTTTAGAAAAAATATTTTATAATCCTGAAATTACTAATAGAGAGCATATGTACCTATAACATATAGCTGGTTAATATCTATATTGCAACTCCTAAGATCAAGATACATGGGTAGAACCTGGCAATAGTAGACAAAAGCTAATTTTTGGTTTCTTATGAAAAATTCATTTGTCTTGTTACCAAATCATAGAATATATCTCAGGAACAAATTACCTTAATTGTGATATTTTTGAAGTATTTCCTGTTTTCTGATTAAAATTACTTTTTATAGACTTTTAAACTTTTTATATTTAAGCTACTACTTTATTCAAATATTATACAAGTTTTAGAGTGTACTGTAGCATAGAGTTATTTAGGCATCTTTGAAGTTATATAGATATTTAAAAAGCTGTGTGAATTCTCCTTGGACTTTTGGGACTTTATTAGCTAAATCAGTTTTTAAATCTTGGATTGTGGAAAACTACTGATTAGAAATTGGAATTAAGAAAGTGAGCAGGTAGCAACATCTAAATGCAAATGAATTCCAAAAAATCAAATGCAATTAAAAAAACATGCTTTCTAAAAAAAAACCCCAGAAAAATATAGTAGAGGCAAGGCTGAAATAACCTTGAAATACAACGGTTTCAATCAACTAGAAAAGCAAGATTGCCATCAGCAGAGAAACTACTACTTTAAAAGATAATGACTAACAGAAATATACAAAAATCCATTAATTCATAGTGCAATGAAAACTGTAAAAGAGAAATATTACACGTACAGTCCCAGAGGATGTGGAAAGTACTCACTGAAGTGGGAAAGAACAAACCTAGTACATAGACAGAAGCTAGTATACATACAACACAGGTGAAGTGCTAGTCAAGGAAAACAAGTGTTTCACAAGGAGTAGAAAAAGAAATGGAAAATTAAAGAAAACACTTACTGGAGAAAACCACATGACTTTAAGAATCCAAATTGTCAGAGCAAAATTCACAACTAGGATGATAAGTAGAAGAAGGACAAAGAGGTAGAGGCAGCGCTTCCTCCAGCCATAAATGCCAATTTTGTAGACATACTGGTTTTCTGGCCTCTCTAGGCTCGTGCCTTGCGTTGTTGTAGTGTACTGTTCACGTACCATCTGCTACAGAAGAAGAAAAAAAACTCTCATTAGTTACTAACATAAAAACAATAAACAGAATGCATGATATTTAAAGAGAAAAGGACTTGAAGAGTTATAATTATATATGATGAGTCCAACCAAATATGATAAGCACTTTGTACCATGGCATCCAGTTAGCAGATGAAAAAATCTTTTTATTATAAATATCAAATGTTTATATATTTAAGTATACTTTTATATTTCTGTAACAGAGAATTTAATTTACCACAGTTATTTCATTATAAGAGATTTTACTATAAGTTAATGCTAAATTGTATTATAGTTATCACATATTTCTAAAAATCAAATGATTAAACAAATTACATGTTTCTATGCACCCTTGCCCAATGTTACAAAGCCAGTAAATAATGGAACCAAGACTTAATTCTAAATAAAATTCTTGGTATATTCTTGCTAAGACACGAAACAATTCCCTTTGCCATGGAAGGTGCTGAAATAGAAAATTTAAAATTATTCTAATAATTGTTTTTCAAATGCAATAAGAGGAAATAATCAATTGGTAACATAAAGCAAATATTCAATTAACTGGTCTTTTTTTTTTTACCTAAAGCCCATTTTAAATCTTCACATAAAATATGAAATCTTAACTCTAAAAGCCACATTTATATCTTAAAACTAGTTTCTTCCTGGAATACTCAAATGGATCTGAGATCTCAGTGGTGACATCCCTTCCAACAAGGGAGAATTCACACCCTCTATGCCTGCCCATTCTGATGGACTCTTGTCCATGTCTTCTCATAATTTCACCAAAGAAGTTCCACACAACATGCTGGGCGCCACTGGTACTTTCTCCTAACACCTTAATGATACCAGTGTCACACAAAGACTAGTCACCATTTAACCCTCACTCATATAACCAGCCCATCTTTTTTGTTCATACATTCCCTCAATGACAAACTTTTCTCTTGTTACTCTTCATAGTTCCTTATTTATTGTGTGTTGCAGGCTGTTCACGCCCTCCCCCCGCCCCGTATTGCCCTGTGAGTGATAACCTGTTTTTAATTCTTCAGAAACTATAGTATTCTGTGACATGTAGACAGACAGCAAAATTAGTTGAATATTAATGTAACTTGTTCCTATGCCATGCTCTTATCTGGTCTGAATTATTATTTGACTCATGGGCAAGGGAGGTAAAAATCTGTAAACAGGGAGAGGCCTGGAAGAAAAGTGCTAATAATGATATAATAATAGGGGCAACTAGGTTATATGTTAGAGTACTGGCCTGGAATCTGGATGACATGAATTAAAATCCTGTATAGATTTTTGATGGAAAGAAGGGATTCTAAGAGGCTAGGATGAGGTGCGAGTATATTCAAGGTAAAAAGTACCACCAGTGCAAGGGCGCAGAATGGGAAATAGAGTATTATGAGTGAGGGACAACGAGAAAGCTAGTTTGGCTGGACCACACAGTATGGGGAAGGGAGTGATGTATAAGAAATTTGGAAAGGTGGGTTGAGGCCAGATTGTGAAGGGCTTTAAAAGCTAAACATAAGGGCTTAAGCTTTATTCTACAGAAAGCAGGGATATGAGTGAGATGGTCAGACTCGTACTTTTTGGAAAATCCCTTTGACAAATATTAAGAGGATAGATTGGGCAGCTAGGTGTTTCAATGGATAGAGTTCTGGTACTGGAGTCAAGAAGACTCATCTTCCTGAGTTCAAATCTGTCCTCAGACACTTACTAGCTGTGTGACTCTGCACAAGTCACTTAACCCTGTTTACCTCAATTTCCTCATTTGTAAAAGGAACTAGAGAAGTATATGACAAACCACTCCAGTGTCTTTGCCAAGAAAACCCCAAATTGGGTCAAAAAAGTTGGACATGACCTAAAATGACTGAACAGCAACAAACGGTTAGATTAGAGGGAAGGGGATGGGGCACAGGGATTAATTAGGAGGTTTGTGAAGAAGTCCAGATAAGAGGTGATGAGGGCATTAGTGAAAGTGGTGACCGTGTAAGTGTACAAGAGACATTGTGGAGATAGAAATGATAAGATTTGATCACTGTATATGTGGGGTGAGTTACAGTGAGGATTCAAGGGTGATGCCAAGTTTTTAAACTAGGGTGAATAGAAGAATTGGTACCTTCTACTTGAAGCATTTTTTGATCCCCTTAGTTATTACTATTCTCTGCCCTCAAAAATTTTACCTTGCAGTTATTTTGTGCATTTTATTTATATGTATGTTGTCTATCTATATTAGTTATAACCTAAACTCTTTGAGAACAGAAATTATTTGGGTTTTGTCTTTGTAAACTTAAACCCAGTACCTAGGGCAAAGGGTTCTTAACTTGGAGTCCATGAACTTGCTTAAAAAATTTGGTAACTTTCTTGGTTATGTTATTAATGTTATGAACTTTACCTTATGCATCTATCTTATCTTATGCATTTAAACATATTATTCTGAGAAGGGAGTCCATGGGATTCACTAGACTGCCAAAGGGATTCATGACACAAAAAGGGTCAAGAAACTGTGGCCTACATGTTTGTTGGTTGCTTATCAGGAACACCATAATAAGAGACAACCAAATATCTCAGGAAATGATGTTTCCTATTGCTTTGGGATACACAAGAAAATCAACTGATTTACCAGTTTATTTATTTGACTCTCCCAGGAGAACATGTGAGACATCTTTCCTACAACTTCTGCCTTTGTTTAGGTTTAATGTATAAACACGAATGTTAGGGTGAATATGATTTCATTCTTCAAATAGCACTTTTCATTCATTTGGTTACTTGACAAGGACCTCAACCTTATAGTGCCAACAGCTAAATTAAAATCTATCGACAATCTTAAAATCTAGTGATTCTTGACACCCTCTACCTTTTTTTTTCTGCTCTGTCACTGATACTGAAGAAGTGGGAAAGGGCCATTTTGAATTTTTCTTTGTGTCATGGATTGCCACGACCAAGTCATTATCAGTTGCTCAGACTACAGATGGAGTTTCTCTGTACTTAGCTGGGTTGGTCTTTGGAAAGCAGACTCTGTCTGTTACTAAGACTCTACTCAAAACATTTCTATCATAGCAGACGCTGTCAGAACTTTCATTCTATTGTCACAACCTGCAAGAACCTAGGATCACCTCCACATCATGAAGCAGCAACAGAGAAAAACTTTTGTGGAGGAATGTCCAGAGTACAGTTGGTTAAAGTACCAAATCTGCCTTTACTTCCTTCCTTTCCAAGAGAGAGATGGCATCCTGGATCATTCATTAAACTCAAATTAATTCTGTATAAGAATGACTTAAGTTGTTTAACAATAACAACAGTTGGCAACATCTGTTTCAACTCCACTGATGCAAAGAAGTAAAATGCATTGAACAAATGTTTGGAAATAATCCATGTGCTATTTATTAGTTAGGTGATTCCATTCCAGAAGCAGAATGAATTGGAAATGACATGAGATCCACTTTCCTCTAATTTAATACCCACAATTAAGACTTCCTCAAGACAAACTTAATTGCATACAATTCAATTCACAGAGGATTCACAGAGATTTTGATTTTGCTCCTGGGAATAAGATCAATGTACCCAACACACTCAATTTTGCAAACCACAATTAAATTATATCATTGCTGAACTGCTGAATTTACTCAAACTCATTTAAAAAATCTCTGTAACATTTTTACAATTACCCTCTATTTACAATAAGCAGTTAGGGATCCTGAAGGATTAGAAATAATACATACAAATGTACATTCTGAATATGTGTATAATTGTCTCCTGCATTGATGTTTATGGAAATATCAAAATTTCAACTACTTACCAGACTTTATTTTATATCTTTTCCTAAAAATTACTGCTGCCTGTTCGAAAATATAGGATTTCAGGGATATACTTCAATGAGTTTCTTAGTCAGAGTAAGTGGCTTAACAATGTCAATCAGATGAAGAGCTTTTGTATGGTGTCAATAATCATTTCCCCTTTCCTCAAAGAAACACTGAAAATAGGCCAGCACCACAACAGGGAAAATGTGATTTGACATTGCCAATATCTGATTATAAAGGCAGTGAATCATTAATGAGGCATAGTGTGAAATATCCTTCTCTGAAGACAATCAGAGAGAGGATATATAATTATATTTTAGGGATGGTTTAAAAGAAGTTCTGCTTAAATAGAGGGTAATGATGTAGGACTTTGTGAAATTTCTTCTTTGCTCAATGTGTCACCTACATAATTTTCTGAAACTCTAATTAAAATATGCTGCTATTCTTGAACCCCAGAATTGGAAGGGGATTGAGGCCATCTAGTGCAAGCTGTGCTTGACCAAGAATCTCCTCTCCATCATATCTGAGTAACCTTCCAGACTTAATAATATTTCATTTTTCTCCAATTACATGCTAAAACAATTTTTAAACTTTTTTTTAAAAAAAAGTTTTGGGTTCCAAATTCTATTCTTCCCTCCTCCCTCTCTGAGATGGTAAGCAATCTGGTATAGGTTATATATGTGCAATCATGTAAAATATTTACATATTAGTCATTTTGTACAAGAAGACTTGAATAAAAGAAAGAGAAAAAAGAAAGGAAGGAAGAAAAGAAGGAACAAAGAAACAAAGAAAAAGTGAAAATAGTATGCTTCAGTCTATGCAGACAGTATCAGTTCTTTCTCTGGAGGCATATAGCATGCTTCATTATTAGTCCTTTGGGATTGTCTTGGATCATTGTATTGCTGAGAACAGTTTAGTCATTCACAGTTCTACATGGTATAATATTGCTGTTGCTGTTAACAACTATCTCCTGCTCACTTTGCTTTTCATCAGTTCACATTAAGTCTTTCTGAAGTGATTCTGGTTTCTTATAGTGCAATAATATTCCATCACAATTATATACAACAACTTGTTCAGCCATTCCCCAGTTGATGGGCATCCCTTCAATTTCCATTTCTTAGCCACCACAAAAAGAGCTGCTATACATATTTTGTAAAAATGGGTTCCCCCTATTTTTTTTTTTATCTCTTTGGGATA